CTGAATTATACTAATTCGTAGAATTCAAATAAAAAAAAATTTTTGTCAAGTTTGATCAGGTGGTCATCGAGATATCTTCGCTCAAAGTCAAAGAAAAAATCAAAACGTCTATCAAAATAGAAGCTACACTGAATCAATTTTAAAACTTTGAACTAAGATATCTTGATGACTACCTGATCAAACTTGATTAATTTTTTTTTATTTGAATTCTATAAATACGTAGAATTCAAATAAAAAAGGTTTCATCGAGTTTGATCAGGTGGTTATCGAGATATTCATGCTCAAAGTCAAAGAAAAAATCAAAACGTCTATCAAATAAAAGCTGCGCCGAATTAATTTTAAAATTTTGAGCGAAGATATCTTGATAACCACCTAATCAAACTCGACAAAAAATTTTTTATTTGAATTCTACGAATTTGCATAATTCAGATAAAAAAATTTTCATTGAGTTTGATTATGTGGTTATCGAGATATCTTCGCTCAAAGTTTTAAAATTAATTCGGCGCAGCTTTTATTTTGATAGACGTTTTGATTTTTTCTTTGACTTTGAGCGAAGATATCTCGACAACCACCTAATCAAACTCGATGAAAATTTTTTTATTTGAATTCTACAAATTTGTAAAATTCAGATAAAAAAATTTTCATCGAGATTGCTTATGTGGTCATCAAGATATCTTCACTCAAAGTTTTAAAATTGATTCGGCGCAGCTCTATTTGATTTTCTTTGACTTTGAATGAAGCTATCTCGACGACCACATGACTAAAATTGATGAAAATTTTTTTATTTGAATTCTACGAACCTGTAGAATTCAAATAAAAAAAAAATTCATCGAAATTGACTACGAATGTGTTGAGATATCTTTACCTGAAATTTTATTTTATTTTATTTTTCTGAGGGGGGTACGATTACCAGCCCCCTAAATTTATTAACTTTATAATTATTAAATATCTTTATTGATTATTACGTTTACATATTCAATATATTCATCTACATCACCTAATTACCTAAATTTAATGATAACATAAATATCGAAACAATGCATTAATATTCTATTTACATATCGGGATTGTTATTAAGATTCTGCTGACCGTATGGTATATAATACACATTGTAATTTTCAGGTGGTTGATTTACATTTTGTTGATAATTTCGGTGTTGAAGCGATTGTTGAGTCGGAATTTGTTGCGGAGTTTGAAACGCATACTGGATCTGATTTGGATCTTGATTATATTGTTGATTTTGAATATATTGTTGATCTTTATTTTGATTGGATTGATTCTTAAATTTAGATAAGTCTCGTTTTACTGCCCTGCGTGGTGGTAATTGCGGAGGAATTTGTATATTACCTTCTGATCCATTTTGTCCCGACCCAATATTATACATACTGTGTGGCAAATTCGATGACGGTGGGGGATACTGAAATTCTGTTTTCAATTCATTTCTAACTTCCATTAAAATATTTCCAAGCCAATTAAGTCCACTCCCGTCGCCTCCATCACCCCAAAATTTATCAATATTTGTATGTTCTACAAGTTTTTTGTCACCCGTCGACAACAAGCTTTCTGCTAATCTACGATTTTGTACAAATTTAGCTTTTACTGCCCATTTCATAACATTTACATTGATATCTTGCCAATTTGGATCCACCAAATGTTGGTTAGTTCTGGCTAGATTTAATGCATCCCTGGGAGAACGACATTTTCTAATTTGTTCAACGATTTCTGGGTGACTTTCCTTAAATTTTGCAGCTTGGAAAAGATGCTCGCTTGTGGACCATGATTTTACTTCATAAAAATCTCTGAAATTGGTACTAATTTCACCCATTGAGATATTAATTGGAAAACCTTCTTTGAAATTAGTAAACTCATAATATTCTTCGTTGCGATTATAAAACCATATAGTATTTGGAGGTGGTTGTTCTCGCACTAAAAATTATTGTTAAATTTATTGAAAATCTTGATAAAAAAAAAGTAAAGAATCACCAATTATTAAAAATCATTTGATACCTGGTTGATGCATTTGATTCATATGGTCTGTATGAAGTTCAATTGACGAATGCATCTGGTTTTCGAGGTACCTATTCCGATAGTTAGGATGATCTGGTACTAAAAGGAAATATATGCATTAGGCCAATAATTTAATTCTTAATTCAAATATCGAAGATTTTTCTAATCATCGATTACGTGAATTGGGAGATAAAAAGAAAATATAAATCAAAAAGGAGTTCATATGTACAATTTTCAAAGTCTAGGTGTATAACGAGATCATGTTTACAATGAACGCATATGTTTGGATTATTATCTCCATAAAAGTTTGGACAACTACAAGAATGTTCTTTACATCTTCCGGTATTGTATTGAACTCCTGGCTGTGGTTGTTGGCTCATTGTGGATTCAGATTTCTAAACTGATTGTCGTTTGGTTGTTTGTCAGCTTATGAAGTGATCAAGTGGTTTCGTACCATCGTTACTAGCTCTATTTTTGGGATGTGTATACAGTGCATTAATCATTACTTAGTATGGTATTACTAAAAACGGTAAAAATCTCTGACCAGATCTTTTTGCTTTAGTTTAGGGTTTGGGTTCGGGTTCGTGTTAGGGTTCGTGTTAGGGTTTTTAGCTTTATATATTATAT